AACACCAAATATTTCTTTCTTTTTCTGATAGAGAATGTTCTATACTTTGATTTTATCCTATCTCCACCAAAGAGATAAAGTTTCAAGCAGTTTCATCTCAAGTTGACGACAGCTTTCAATGTTGCATGAATCAGTCACTTGATTTGATTGTTAACAGCTACTCCTCTGTCAGCTCAAAGTATGAACACTTTGCAATTTGACATGTTTGGCCTCTATAAACCCTCAACAGTCTGACCTGGCTCCAAGCTGCTCCTGAATCACTTCACCTCCCTCTGCTGCTGACATTGATTTGAGCTTATCTCTGACGTCGCTGAAGTCGACGCTTCCCATCCTAGCTCCTTCACACTCTTTGTCCGAGCATATCTAGAACAGGAGATTGGCTTTGACCTCCAACCTCCGTCCAGCAGCTGTAGCAACAGAACGCTCTCGTCAGCAGCTGGATGGACGCCAAATACTCCCCGCCGCTCCTCTTCCTCGCTCCTCTGCGTGGAAAAGTTTCTCCCAATAGATATGAAGCTTCTAAAGGAGGAAAAGAAAACACCAAAGAGACAAGAGAACGTAGAGAAAAAACTTAAACCTGTGAAGCTGAGGGAGAAAAAAAATATGAAAGAGTCTGCAAACTGCCAACTGTCACATAATCTCCTTCTTTGAGACGGCTCTGCACAAAGGTTTGGGGAGCAGAGGATTGTGGGAAGGTACAGGAGGCTGCGTGGCTTAGATGGCGTCATCTAAATAAAAGCAGGATGAAGATGATGATTTCACATTATGAACACCTTCAGATTGGGCGTGCGTGCGTGAATCTGCGTGGGTGCGTGTGTGACCTTGTGAAAAGGGGTTTGGTTTATTCAACTGAGAAAAGAGAGAGAACTATGAAATGCAGTGGACGAAAAACGCTATGATTCACCAGGAGACACAAAGAATCTGCAGATTTAAAAAGCTATACGGAAGGAAAGTATGTATGGAGAGAGAGAAACATGAGGAGAAAAAAGCCGAACAGGCGGAGGAGGAGTGGAGGCGAACGGAGAACCTCATTAGCACAGAATCAGTTGGATATAAAGATGGCAGATGTGATCATTAGCGCTAGGAGGGATCAGACATCGCTGTACGCCACTGTTTATCCTCCCACTTCTACACCAACACTCTGCGTGTGTGTGTGTGTGTGTGTGGAAAGAGAGAATGTTTTAGTGCAGAGGATGAAAGGGTTCATGAGTCTTTTCGGCTCCCTCCCTCCCTCCCTCTCTCCCTCGCTCTTTCTCTTTTCTCGCTGCCTGTCACTTACGTCTTTTATGCCTTGTCTCATTTTTACCCCCCGCCGCCCGCTCATCTCCTCACCGCAAAAACAACCATTTTGAAAATGTTGCCACTTGAACAAAATAGACGCGGTGGAACATTTTCATAATTGGACGTCCAGGTGAAATTTAAGGCAGCGACAAACACGGTGTTCGTCTGCAAACAGGTTTTACAGCTAAACACAGACCTCCGGCTGTAATCACAGGATGGAGATCAAGGTGAAAAGAGGAATCTCTGCATAAAAGTTTCCGTCTGTTGGAGGCTTTTATCCAAATTATGCTGAAACATTTTAATAAATTGAGTTAATTCAGAGGGACGGCTGTTGGCTGGTTACTCTCCTGGTTAAAAAGGCAGCAGAGAAGAGACTAAACCAGAGAGCTGAGCTGCTGACAGAAAGAGGTTATGAACTTTTAAACTTGAATTCAGTTTATTGAATTTATGTTTGTTCTTTCTGTTAAATATTAAAAGATGTTGAAGAGTGAGTGGTTGGTTTGTGGCTGTTTTCAGGAGATCTTGTGAGATGTGGCACTTTTTTTTTTAAATGTTCCCAGTTTTCCCAGGGAATAGTTCATGAATCTTAATGAGACATATTCAGAGGACTGATATCTGAGTGTGTGAAGTATGGTGCAGCTTGATTGAAGTGGACATTGTAATAATGATTTCAACCACGTGCATCAGCTCAAAGGCTTATTGGTGTTATAAGTAAATTTGAGGAAGTAGCCGATCATCAGAGCTCAACAGAAATCCCGAGCCGCTCACACTCTGTTAGCACTTTGCTCTTCCTACTAATCTACACAGGACAGCAGATTGCGGTGGAGCCACTGATAGCAGCGGGACGTAAACAGACGCGTCAGAGGAGCCTCACTGTGTCAGAGTAACAACCCACCAATCAATAGAAATGGAAACTTCCACTTGTTCTCAAATTAAAGACGAACAGAAAGAAAAAAGAAATCACACAAAGAGACACGAGAGGCAGCTCACAAACAAACACTCACAGGGGAAAGATAATCAACCTGAAGCAGCGAGAAGTGAAAATGTGACGCTGTCTACAGGTTTGAAGTCGCTCCCACCTAATTTTCTATTTCTATGTAAATGTATCCTCCGCCGAACAAAAAGCGGCGTCGTAGGGAGCAAACTGCGGAACACAGCATGGCAGCAAACCCACTGCATCAGGGGCACCGCCACGCACATGTAGTTCAGCTTTAAACACAAGGAGGAGGAGGTGTGGGTGAGGCAGAGGGTGACACAGGGTAATTGGAATGGCCTTTGCATTTTTCTGCTGTAAGACAAATGGATCCCTCTCACTTTGATTTCTCTTCTCTCTTTTCTTTCAGTCCTCTCTCTTTATTTCTCTCTGCATGTTGAGACAGTAAAAGATGGTGAATAACTTCCTCTTTTCTCTCAATATCTCAGTTTGTTGAATCGATCACCTCCTCCCTCCCTCATGTTTCTTTCACTTTATCGTCATCTTTTCTTTATCAAGGCCGAGTTCTTTTATCTCTTCCGCCCTCCCGCCTCCTCCTCTTCCCACAGCCCACACTCCATCTCTCTGCTCTCAATATGAATATTCGTCTTTCAGACATGCAGCAGTTACATGGCTGCTGGAGCTTTGTCCAGAGTCGCTCTGCAGAGATTGGAATCGATTCTAAAAGGAGAGAGCGTTCATACTCACATTTATGAGGCTAATGTGGGGCAGACGTCGATAACTTCTCCTGAAGATGTTTGTTAGAGACGACGTCGCAAAAACAGTTTCTAGTATTTAGTTTTCACTGAAATGCAAACAAACAGATTTCCCCCGTCTGTTTTGTTTCCATTCAGCAAAGTGATTGTTTAACTGTGGACAGAGGTCAGTGCTGCAGAGTGTGATAAGTCACTCACTCCAGGTCCTGTCAGACTGCAGATATCTGTGTGTACACTATATGGTATCTACCACTATCAGGGCCACTTAGAGGGAAAACATATCTGAGATTTTGAGAATAGACATAATTCAAATAGAAAAATTTAAAGAGAATAAATGTGTAATATTGTGAGGATAAAGAGGAGAGTTTCTTGTGAAACCTCACAGATAGCCTCACAGCACATTAGCTCCTCCACTAAAGAGACAGTTTCTTTCAAGTCTGTGTTATTGTTTCTTCAGAATGGATTCAGTTTCTTATGATAATGTAACATATCAAATTCATTCCTGAAAGTTTTTTCCCTCTAAGTGGCCGGAAATATCCATCTTTGGGCTCTGATGAAACAGGAACAAATAGATCTTAGGATTCAACAGATCACTATGTCAAATCTATCATTCAAATTCTTAAAGGGAAAGAAAGCAAAGTGTAAAACAATCCATAGAACTGTGTTCTAACAATAATGGTTATAATAATGTTAATTATAATGTGGAATTGAATTGAAAAAAGACTGATTCTAGGGATCAAACCACTGTCCTTCTGTTTAGTTGACGACCCCCTCTACCTCCTTAGCCTCAGCCGAAGAGACAGAAGCCTCTCAGACATTAATTACTTACATTGTTAATTGTGTTTCATGTGCAAATTATTTATTGTTACATTTTAGTGCATCAATCAGATAAAACAACTTATTTGACTTATTTTCTGACATTTCATAGACTAGACTAGATTAATCGTACAGAAATATTGAGGGAATAATCAATAATCATTTCAAAAAAACATCCTTAGTTGCACGCTTCAGTGGAAATGTTGTATTAGAATCACTTTAGATTAATGGGCTTCCGTCGAAAAACCAAGGATCAATTCTGCCCAATCTGTGAAATGTTAACTCATCGTCTTCGTTCACAGATCGATTAGTCAATATTTTGCACAATGTGAAGAAGGGAGTTAACGATAATGCACCATTTCTTCATGAAAATATGTGAAATTAAAGATACTGTGCAGTGTGTGTGTGTGTGTGTGTGTGTGTGTGTGTGTGTGCGCACCATCGCCTCGTTCTCTTCCAATGCTGGAGCTGTGTTGCCATGGCAACGCTGACCCCTGGGAATCAATGTTTTTTTTTTTTCATACAAGTAGCCTCTTTACAATTCCTCCCTCCCTCTCCCTCTCTCCCCGTTCTACCTTTTTGTCTCCGCCTCTCTTACCTCTTTGCACTTTATCTCTTTTCTCTCTGTTATGTACCAAATGTGTGTTCAGGTGATGGTCTCTGATGTTGTATGTGTACATCTGCTGACACACACACACAGGATCCTTGCTTGCTCTGCATTCACATATAGTTCATATCTCTATCTCTGCCTCTTCCTTTGGTTCTTTGTGTCTCTCGTCCTTCTCGAGGACGCCTCTGAAAAGCAGAATCTGACAAAGTTTGGTTCAGCGTCGACCTTGTCTCTCAAAGAGCGCTCTGTTTTACTGTGTTTGACAGAAGAGAATTATTTTACAGCAACAAGCTCCATCAAATTACTCCTCTTTAATTTCATATTTTCAGAGAGAGAGAGGGATTGTTAGTAATTGTAACATCACAGGCTGCAAAACATTAGGAACGCTTCTTAACATCTCTGACTTTTACATTTTTGTTTGTTCTGTATCTTTGTGTATTTGTATTTCGATTTTCCGTTAATTTGATGCACAGGAGTGTGCTAGTATTTTGTGCTCTCGAGTATGGGCTATTTGCTATGACTTTGATAAAACCCTCATTTATTATACCTAACATAATTGTTATCTGTTTCTTCCATTTCTCCAAACCCCACCACCACCCTCCAGGCCAAGCTGATCGTCCCTAATAGCACAGCGGGTTTGATCATCGGTAAAGGTGGAGCCACAGTCAAGGCAGTGATGGAGCAGTCTGGGGCGTGGGTTCAACTATCCCAAAAGCCAGAGGGCATCAACCTGCAGGAGCGCGTGGTCACCATCAGCGGGGAGCCTGAGCAGAACCGCAAAGCCGTGGAGATCATCGTCCAGAAGATCCAGGAGGATCCGCAGAGCTCCTCCTGCCTCAACATCTCCTACTCCAACATCACAGGGCCGGTCGCCAACTCCAACCCCACCGGGTCCCCGTACGCAAACTCCACCGAGGTCATGCCGGCTGCTGCAGCCGCTGCAGCAGCAACGGCCTCCTCTCTGCTCGGCCAGGCTGGCCTGGCAGGCGTGGGGGCTTTCCCGACCACCATGTCCAGCCTCTCAGGCAACGACCTGCTGACCATCACCTCCGCCCTCAACACTCTGGCCAGTTACGGCTACAACACCAACTCCCTTGGCCTGGGGCTGAACCCCGCTGCAGCCTCAGGGGTGTTAGCAGCTGTAGCAGCTAACGCCAATCCAGCAGCAGCCGCCGCAGCTAATTTATTAGCGTCCTACGCCAGTGATGCATCCACGAGCGCCGCTCACCCAGCAGCCGGTCTGGGAGGCTTCTCCCTGGGTTCCCTGGCGGCCGCTACAGGGGCCACCAACGGCTACTTAAGCGCTGCATCACCACTGGTTGCATCATCACTACTGGCCACGGAGAAGCTAGGAGAAGGAGCAAAGGAGGTGGTTGAGATCGCCGTGCCAGAAAACCTGGTGGGAGCCATCTTGGGGAAAGGAGGGAAGACGCTTGTGGAGTACCAGGAGCTGACCGGCGCCAGGATCCAGATCTCCAAGAAAGGCGAGTTCATCCCTGGAACTCGGAACAGGAAGGTTACCATCACGGGTTCTCAGCCCGCCACGCAGGCCGCACAGTACCTGATCAGCCAGCGAATCACCTATGAGCAAGGGGTACGCGCCACCAACCCACAGAAGGTGGGCTAAACCTGACAGCCAATGAGAAACGAGGAGGAAAAGAGGAAAAAAAAAAGAGTGGGGGCTTGGGGGAGGAGTATAAAAAAGGGAGAGTGAGAATGGAAAAAGGAGAGGAGAGCAAGAATGTCGGAAGGAAACGTCCGCGCCATTTTCTTCTGCGTGTTTTCAGTATTCTTTATTAAAAAAAAGTTTTTGACGCGGAGCAAAAATGTGCTGAGAAGACGAGGAGGGAGAGGAGCGAGTTATCACGCTGAAAAACCAAGAAAAAAATGTGTAAAATGTAAATAAGGTTTTATTACTTAACGTCTTGACCTTTCGGGATTTTTTATTGTTTTGTTTCATTGTTTTTTTTCTTGTTTTTGTTTTGTTTGGTAAATTAAGCTGTCTGTTTGTTTGTGTATTTTGTGGACGAAGCTGAATGCCATGTAGACAGGCCGACTGCCTGAGAGGCTACAGGAAGTGGGGGGAGGAAGGGAAGGGCAGGGGCACGGAGAGAGGGGGAGGGGGGTTTGGCGTTAACAGGGTACGACCCTCCCACCCTTCTCCCCTCCCCCCCCATTCGAAAACCCCCTTATGGAAACAACCCTTACCCTTCCCTCCCGCTGCAGCCCACACCCGTTTTGTTTTTCTTCTAGTTTTGACTTGCCCCAAAGACCCTCCCCCTTCCCTCCCCCCAAAGCCCCTCTCACTACTTGTCCCCCCTCCCGTGCCCTGCCCCTCCCCTCCCCAGCCCTTTTACAGGGGTTTTTATAATGAGCAGGACTGCAAACTTCAGCCGGTGTGTGAGAGAAGAAACATCCTCGACTTCGCCCCGACACTGTTTATTCTCTCCCCCGCCTCATGACCTCACCTCCCCCCTCCTCCCCCTTGCCGAGATTACTAAGGAAGAAGGGTGAGGTGAAACCGGGGAGGGGTGTGGGCGGGGTGGGGAATCAGCTGGGTGTTTCTTCCTTTGCACACCCCTCCCACTGTATACCCTGTGATGTATACCACAAGCAGTGCAGCGCCCCCTGTGCGCGGCTCTAGTGTTTGAGATAGAATGCCGAGGCGCACGCTGATGACCTCACGTAGTGCGAAACCTAGAAACGACGAGAGTGATACTGTGCAAGCTGCGGCAAACTCACAGGATCTATGGCATTTTTCTTTTTGCAGTCTGCTGTAATCATTCTATTAATGATTATTACGATAGGAGTCATCACCATCGTCATTATTTATTAATGAGTTCACCCATTTAAAGCTCAGTTGTTTCGTTTTTTTTAAATCTGTGAATTCAGGTTGACATGAATGTAAATGAGACCATTTTTTAATTTGAATCTTTTGTTTTAATTTAAATGGATTGAAAATGAATAGTAATGTCACATAGTGTAATATATGTCTTATTTAAGTCCAGTATAAGAGAGCCACCCGAGGCATTACGATCAATACAGTGAAGGATCACTTTATATATCCAGTCAAAGAGCAGAACAGGGAACACACACACACTGAAACAAAACACTATGATGCCATATTTGGTGCTAGAAAAGGGAATTCACCATATCTATGATGCAGACTGCAGTGAGATAAATATGTTTAAACCACTCACACCACAGGCTGCAGTGCAGCGTTTTAGCAGCTATATTAACCTTAAACGCCTCGGCCGTCCCAGCTCATGCTCTAAAATATCCCCACTGTGTTATACCTGTAGGAAAATGCCAGTTACAGTTTGCCAACAATGTAAACAAGTCACTGAAAATGAATAATTGAGACTAATTCTCAGTTGAATCGCTGCTGCGTAGCCTGTGGTCTTCCAAACCCCTTTAGATGAACCTGAACCACAAACTAGATCGAGCGAGAGCACTTAAGACTCACTACGTACTACTGAGAAATGCAAACACGGAGTAAGAGGAAACACTGACACATGACGAGGGAGCGGCGTTCGTCTGGGCTCCGCTGCTGAATCTGCAGGATTCGCTGGTAGATTTGCTATTTAAAGGCAGCGTGGATGTTCGGGATGTTCAGGAGATAAGTAGCCTCACTGATCTTTGCCCTTATCAAGCAACCGTTTGACTGCCGGTGAGGTAAAGGGCAGTGAGAGATTTCCAACATACGTCCAGCGAGTTGAGCTTGTTTCTGCCTCTGGCAAACTGCAGGTCTCCAATGGCAACAGGTTTTCTGGCCACTGTAGAACCAGGAGGCTGCTGAAGATGCTGTTGTTTCTTTTGTTGTTAATTTTTGTTTTATGTTGTGTTATTATTATTATTTTTTTTTACAATCGGAGTACACTGAATTTTTGTCTTAATGCACTGTGAAGCGAAGGAGTGGCTCTCTCTGCCTATGAGGTCAGGGATGTGGGCTGTAGACGGCATCATGATTGGATGGTTTTTGTATAGCAGGGATTAAAAAACATACACATATATGAAATATATGTAGAATGCATATGAAGAACTTCACCAGAAACGCACGTCATATCTGAATACTGAAGGAGGAGGAAGAGACTAGGTCGATGAAGAGGATCAATCAATTGAGGTGAAGAGTTGAGATCAATTAGATTCTTCTTACCTGTCGTCTTTGTAAACGGATGGCGGGACGTTGGGGAGTGTGAGGTGTCCAGGAGCAGATTAAAAAAAAAAAGACTGGAACAAATTTCTAAATTCACTTTTCTATCGCAGCTGTGTCTTTTTCATGAGGTGATAACGCGCTGCTCATCCAATGGGCAGATATTTAAGTCCAACAGGAGTTGACGTGTGACGGAATGTAAAATGCCAAAAATAAGGAGGGGGGTGCATTTGATTTATTGACCTAAACCGCCTGGTGAGGGGAGGGGACTCTCCTAAGATTAAAAAACACAAAAATAAAGAGACTTTCTGATTCTTTTGAAACCAATCCGACTCTAAATCCTCCACTGTGCTATCGAACGTGTCTCTCTGTTGGAGCGCCAGTGAGGGTTTATCTCCACAGCTTGGTAAGGAGGCTTCTTTACTCCCATCTAACACCATCCACACTCTCCTCACCCCTCCCTCACACCCGTCCTCAGTCCTCCAGTGCACTCCCATCCCGACACCCCCTCTCCTCCTACCACATCGCTCCATGGGTGACTATATGTCTGGTGTTTTATGATCAATGCATGTCTGCTGCTTGCCCCGACAAACACTGCAGATCGAGCCTCTCTGGTCGCTGCCTCCTCGGGGCAGCGGAGGCTCAGAGATGCATCAGAAATGGCTGCACCTGCAGAGGAAGTCTTAGTCGAGGCTGACGGGGCTTAAATCAGTGTGTTGGATCTTAATGTTGTGACGCTGAAGAGAAACGGTGTTGATTTGGAAAACTTTGCTGCACAAACATGAAACACATACTGTGAGGGAATCTTTTTCCATCAATGGGGTTTGACTTAATTCTAGTTTGATATTTTGTCGTAAAGACGATGAGAAGGTGGTGTGATGTTGTTCCACTGTTCTACCTGTACTGTGCTGTATTCATCTTCTTTAGTGTATCTTGAGTCAGGTTTGGGCTGGTAGGCTTGATTTATCCTTCATCATAATTTAAGTTTTTGGACTGTTGGTCAAACAAAGTGAGCAATTTGGGAACTTGCTTTCAAATGCATTATTCACAATTTTTCAACTATTTCAGGGATTATACAAATATTTGGTTGTCAAAATTTAAAAACAATAAATTGAAAGACGTGAAAATAAGGAATTCGGTAAATTTTGTTCTGTGCAGATTATTTTGTTTATTGTCAAATTTCATTGCTAACTGATTTTGAATTCAGCACAGTACATTTACAATTGGAGAAACAGCATCGTAGTTCCTGTCACAGGTGCCAATTAGTTTAATGGATACAGGACAGATTTGTTTTTCATCTTCATCCCTAATTAAACCTTAGAAAGGTCTTTTTCTTTTTCGGTTTGTCTTTCACACAGCCGCCAACCTCTTTAGTTTGTCTTTGTGTAGGTGATGGAGATAAAAATGTGATCATAACTGGAAGCAATACACGTAGTGGCATGTTGTCTTGTCCTGTCCTTTATCCTCTGTCTGCCGTAGGAGCTTTTGGATTTACTTGTAGATATATTGAATAGGTTTACACGAGTAAAAAATGTTTTTTTTGATTTGTGGAATATGCTGCTATTTAACAATAATAACTAATGTACTAAAAATACAAGGTTAAAACATATCGAAAATCTGTCCTTTAGCTGGAGAGGCAGCTTATTATAAGTTAATAATAGTGTAATTCTAACCTGAAGTTAAACCTGTGCCAAAATAGGTCTTCACAGAGCGAAACTGTAAATGTGTTGATTTAAATCATCTTAGATAAGAGGAGACATACTTTTATATTAAGATTAAAATGTGAAAAGTGCCAAATGAAGCATATTTATAATTTACGTAGGAAGGGAGTCGTCCCAGTGACAGTTTTTAAGAACCACATAGACTAACGTACTAAAACGTCTCAGTGCAGCCGTTTGTTTAAACCCTCTCTGTTCCTGCCACAAGACGAGGGAACCACCGCGTTAGCCAGTCCTGTGGGAACTACCCTTCCCAGAATGCAACAGCACTATGACTCGGGGGCTAGATGAATCAATATAGCGATAGGTTAGCATAATGATGCTAAAAAAATGTGACTAGATAGCATTCTTAAATACAGCCTTTTATAGTTACAATGAAAATGTATTTTGTGGAAATAGATGTTATCTTTTTTGCACGTCTATATTGCATGATATCAGTAAAGCGTGGACAAAAAAAGCGGAAGAAACAAAAAAAAAAAAAAACAAGTGACTAAAAAAATTAGGCAGTATGTGTCGTTCATTTTTCGGAAACAAATCCTTGCATGCCGATAAGAGCATTTTGATATTGTTTTACACGCGTTCAAATGACGGTTGTTTTTTCGATACGATCACGTTGGTCCGCGGGCCACAGGTGAACAAGACGTTTGGTTTTCGACGTCACAACAGTGAGTATTTTGTCGTTTGGTTATCGAACCTTCCTCAGAGGGAAATGAACAAAAGACTCTCGAACAAAAACCTAAGACTATTTTGCTACTTGCCGAGTGAGCTTGTGAAAAGTTTCTCACTTGCTACCGAACCGAAAAAATCAGGATTTAATTTGCAACCAAGACTGAGATTGTCCATGAATGTACTCACCTCTGCATACGTTTGCATATCACTCCTCTGACCATTGACGTGCAGTAGAGGCCTCTGTGTGTTGTTGTGTGTTTTTGTACTCTAACAATACTAACCCTCAACGCGCTGTGTCAAGCTCTCAGTAGAACGCTGTTGTCTGTCCTGTACACTCCCCCCCCCCCCCCCCCCCCCCGCCACCTCCGAGCTCGGGCCTGTCCTGTCACTGATATGCACCTTATTGACCTTAGATACGACCAGGAGCATCTCACAGTGGGTCAGAGAGATTCACAACACCCTCCCTCATCTACAGCTCGCCCCAAAAGGAAAAGAAAAAAACCACAACTGTGTGTGTGCGGCCTCAGTTTCCCCTCGGGCGACCCCCTCCTCCCAAATTTAGGACAGATTGTGTTGTTGCTCTCTTAATATGCAATCCAAGACTCTGATGTCGGGGAGAGAAACAACACTGAATGCTGCCAGTGTGCTTTTAAAGTGGCAGCGTTTGGAATCCTGATCACTTCAATTTGAGCGTCAAGAACAAAACAAAAGGTCCAAAATCCACCCATCACTCCCCCTCCCTCGTTCTAATTACACAACAAGAAACCAGATGATTTCCCTGTGGTCATGTTGTGCGCCCTGACACGTGTTGTCATGGTTAACGTCCTGCTTCCTATAAAACGAATTTCCGTGACAACTCTCAGCGACATGTTTGCACTAAACCCTGCTGTCGCCGTGCACGGCAGGCCGAGCTGAGGCGGGGGTCTGTGTGCGGCACTGCTGTAGAAGTGTAGCTTTTTTCGTAGGTGTTTATTCTCGATGTGCATGCTCCTCTCTCTCTCTCTCTCTCTCTCTCTCTCTCTGAGTTTGTCTGCTTCAGGCCAGCTCCGTGCTTGTGGTGTCTGTGTTTAGTCGGCTAGTCATGTTTTTATTTCTACGATTCTGACGCGTAGAGGAATGCAAACTTTTAACTCCCACCTGCTCGCCAGGTGACCTCATTGCTTCTCAGTGGGTGTGCGGCTCCTCAACATTGTCCACCGATGTTGTCTCCCCACCACCACCACCACCACCACCCCCGTCCACCTCCACCAACTCAAACCCACTCTCACCCACACCCACCACTGACCCTCCCACCTCTTCAAACACCCTCAATGAGACACATTATGGGACCCCCACTTTCTCCACTTTTCCACCCCCCTTCCCTCCCCGACTCGGGCCCAATCGAAGCACCAGCAACTGTAGACTGCATTTGTCATATCACTGTTTTTCTGTTCCTTCTTCTCGTTCTCTGTTGGTTTTTATTTTCCTGGTTTTGATTTGTACTGTATGCTCTGTCTAACCTAGACCAGTTTTAACAAAATGCCATTTCTGTGTGTAGCCTGTTTACCCCCTCTCTCTCACATACACACACACATACACACACACACACACACACACACACGCACACACACACTCTTCCATGCCCTCTTTTTTGCACTTTCACTGCCCACCTCTCCTTCTCGCCCAAACATACACTTTCCTCCTCCGCCTCCCACAAGCCTCTTCTCTCGAGTGCCAAAATAGAACAGAGAGGAAAAACAAAAACACGAAAAACAAAAAAAAAACAAAAAAGACAACAACAACAACTACCATTCCAAGCGTTTCTTTGAGTTGTTCTTGTGTGTCGGACATCCATCCTGGAAGCACCCATGAAGCCAGCATGCTCCGCCCTCATAACATGATGTCGCTCATGACGCCTCAACTGAACAGCACCTTGCCCCCCACCACCACCACCTCCTCCTCCTCCTCCTCCTCCTCCTCACCACCCCCCACAGAGCTAAACCCGACAAGGATTAACCCTCTGCAGGTTGGCTACCTACCTACTGTCCTGCCTCTCAACCTTAAAAAAAGCCCTACCGCTCATGCCAGCTGCTTTCCTAATTCTGTCATCTCTTCAGCCTGTGGGACTTCATTGATTGTGTGCCATAGTGTTGGGGGCACCTTTCACTCTCCTCACCTCCCCCTCTTTCTCCCGCCCTCACCTTTTCTCTCTCTCTTTACCCCCCTGCCCCCTCCTCTCGCTCTCGCTCCATTTGATTTTTCTCAATGGGAAAGATTCAAAAACTCCATTTTTCTAATGATGATTTTTTTTGTTGTCGTTTAACATCCAAACCACCGCACGCCGACACACGCACCGCCCCCGCGCGGTGGTGTGGGGAGTGTTTACGCACCGTCAGCTGCGCAGCCATCCTCTGTCCTCTTGAACTTTTTGAACTTTCACCCCCTCATGAACTTTATTGACCTTCTTCCTCCTATACCCCCCTTCTGTGTTCATCCAACTGTTTTGGACGATAACTCTCTCATTCCATCCCCAAAAACCTCTCTGAGACTGTGCAATGCTCACTGATATGATTGGATTTTTTTGTTTGTTTGTTTGTTGCTCATCATTGGGGATAATTCTCTGAGATATAAGTAAAAAAAAAAACCACGAAAGGAAGAAAAAATAAACGTCCCAAAAAAAATGCAGACAAACAAAAAAAAAAAGAAAAAACACTAAACAACTGTTTCTCCACAATTTCATTTTTTTCTCTCTCATTGTAAATATTTTTGTCAGATTTTTTGCTGAGCTGTAAAGAGAGAAGTGTTGAGCATAAAGGGGCCGGCAGCATAAAGATGAACTTGTGGACGCGGTAGACAACACTTTTCATCCTCCGTATCCGATAGTTAGGTCTGCCTGTATAATCGGCTCTGCTAGTTCTACTGTGTTAACCTGTGCTGTTGTTATTAGTGTTGATTTACCTACTGTATTCGCTGTGTAGCTTCCATGTTGGCTAGCAAACTCTTTAGATAATTGTGCTCATCACATAATGATACTAACCTTGAGAAGTAGTCCGAGCCATTCTCAACGTAGAGGCTTGTTTTTGTACATTTGTTGATGTGAGTCGTAGTGGCGCTAGTATCTTTTATCATCAAGCCATAGTTATTGCAAATGCTTGGTCGTGTTAGAGACATATCATCGTGGAAAACGGCTCGACTCGGTTCCTCCAGGTTGGAGAAGAAAAAAAAACGCAGGGAGGCGGACACAGAAGGGGAAAAAAAAAGAAAAGGAAACTAAGCTCCTCCCGGGCGACAAAACGAGGAAGCTGAGCTGCTAACGTTTGTGCAATACAGTCCTAGTTTACATGAAATAGAACGATAGTTTAGGGATGATTAACCTCTGCAGGTGGCGCTCAACCATCCTGTCGCCTGCAGAACCAAACCTCTGCATATCTTCGCATATCGCCTCTACATCAGAGACATGTTGAAAGTATTAAAAAGTGACTGCGTGAGATTACGACGCCACCATTTCACCGCATTGCTCTGAGCTCCACTCTTGATTTATGCTGCCTGCCCCATCGCCCTGAGAACACCACATGAGCTATTTATTTCTCAGACTATTATTATTATTATACTATTAATAAATAACAACGCAATGAGAAAAAGGGAACGACTGGAAAAAGGTGAATTATTATTATTATTGTTTTGTTTTTATTTTTAGTATTTTAGTGGTTGCTTTTAACAACATTCATTAACTGACTTAAAGAGTATTCAATATTTAATGTAATTGTAGCATTGTGTTTGTAAAGAGAAAAAAAAACCTAGTGAGTTGTGTTTCTTGACTTGTGGATTACCAGTGAAGTGGGCAATCTAGTGCTAATATATATGAGGTCTTTTTTTAAGGATTCTTATTTTGCGACAGCAACAGCAGTCATTATAAATGTTCATTTTAGCATCACCTGTCTTCCGTTGTCTTATTCTTCACCTTCCACCACACTCTGCATCATCACAGTAACACATCGCAAGTCTGGGGGTGGGCAAGAGTGAATGAGTGTGTGTGTGTGTGAATGAGTGAGTGTGTGTGTGTGTGAGTTGAGGTTTGTGTGGGAGAAAATGTGTGTTTGTCATGAATCTAATGTGTGTGTGAGTGTAAGTTAACAAACCTTTGTATTTGTGTGTGTCTATGCAAAATATTGTGAATGTGTGTGTGTCCCTTAGTCTATTCCCTCAGTTGTGTGTGAATGCATGTTTGTTTACGTGTGAGTGTGTGTGTGTTCGCTGGGTTCGGGGTGGGTGTTTTGTCCAGTGTCCACCAAAAGCTAAAACCTGTCAGGCTTCCATACATCCCAATGGAACCTCCTGACGTTATAGCTGCAAACCCTCATCATGTGATCTGACTCAACTCGACTGTCCATAACCCCTTCAGTCACCTGACCAACCAAATCAACCAATCACTGTCCACCACTACCGCCTCCCCCTGCGCCATCCTTTGCTGCACACCACGTCAGCCCCATGTGATGTTCTCCATCGATAACATACTACTGTCACAATCTACTGTTACATGCTCACAGATCTGGGGATAAATACACGTCTAGAATGGACGTTCAGGTGCTCTAGCTTGATGTGTGCTTGTTTTATAAACTCCGGGTGCTTTTCACCTTTGAGATTATAAAGTTTTTATATACGAAAAAAAAACAGCTCTAAAACAAGAACACTGCAAGTTTATTTAGATTTTAAAAGGTTGGTTCACCCTGAAATAAGAGGTTGTCCAAATTTTAACGAATGTGCCTCCATTCTAAAAACAGTGGAGGTGAATTGAATGGAACCGATATTAAATAAAAACTCAGCAGAAACATTTCTCGTGTTGTTGCTGTGGGTAAACTGCAGACTCCACTGGCACTCGTGTTTTTTTGGAACTACTATATTCTGCCTGTAGCAAGTTGTTCCAATAAAACTTTAAAATACTTTGTGCACTAAGAATAAAATCCCATTTTTGGAGAATGATGATATAAATAAAACAAATATTATCCATGAGTTGCAGTCAAATATTTTGTAATTTGGATAAACTGACCCTCTAATCTTCAATCCACCTGAGCCAATTTAGTTTCTTTAATTTGGAACCCATTTTAAATCCAGTTATTTTTCCCCAGACCTGTATATTACATTCTACTGTTCATACTAGTGTACGTGCTGCATCCTACCTTACCAGGTCAGAATCCACCTTAACCTGTTTCCATGCCAACCACCGAGGAGCCAGTTGCACAGCAACCGGCTTCCGCCACAACAAACCAACCAACCAACCAACCAACAAACCATCTTCCTCAGTCGCCGAGGCCACGCCCACCTGACTATGATCGTTCCATAGGAGAAGAAGTAGAGGAAGAGGGAGGATAGGAAGGAGGGAGGAAGGAGGGATGAAAGAGACGTAGTTGTGATTCTCAGGGTGTCTAATATAGATGTTCAGTCCAGTCTCTCACTGGTGTCCTGTCGCCCCAAACTGAGCCCAAAGACGATCATGTCCTTCCACCACAAATTCCTTGTACGATTGATTGACCATTGACCAATTCCTCTCGATCAGTTGATTGATAGTATTGATTGACCAATTCTCTAGAGAGACGCTGCGCAGCCAGCCAGGTGAAGGAAGTGAGGCACTGTAACTATAATGTTTACAACCCAAATGAGACCAACAACGCTGTTGAACGAATGTCTAGGACTTCAAAAAAAAAATCAAACAGAAAAGAAAAGAGAGACAAATCTCTGAAGAGTACTTATTTCTAAATGATGGAACTTTTCGCTTACTTTCTATATGTGACATGAGGTAATGTAATTTTTTTCAATCATTGCATGTGACTATTTTGATTTGCAATGAAACTGTTAGAATGGATGGTACATTTGTGACGTCAGTGCAACGTTGAGACGCCGATGCTAGAAAATCAAATGTCGGTGTCTTATAACAGTGTTTTCATGTCGCCGTGAGGAGTGCTTATGGACCAATGAATGCTAAATGTGTGACCATACAAAGCTGTAAAGGTTTTGTTTATTTGTACATGGTTATGGGTAAAATAAACCATTGAAGCAAAGTAACATCTTTAGTCTTCAGGAGTAAAGCCCTCACACGTTTGTTTGTGCGCAAGAAAGGTGCTTCGGATAAAACGCTAGATTCACTGTCGAGAGGTAAGTTGATCCAACATGGCTCTTCCACTCTAGGTTTAGTCGGGTCAACACAATAGAGAGGGTGAAGCGCTAAAGATGATCAGGGTCTGATCCACTCACACATCAGCGTTTCCCCTGTGACAGGCAAGAAGGGGTGGGGTTCAACTCTGACATCTCCATCTACCCACAATCCTCCTGTGCACCAGAGTCATCCGATCAACAAACACCTGCACCCCTGCATCCACCATGATTCCACCAACCAGCCAATCAGCTGCTGCGACCTCTGGCCAAACGGTCTCCGCCCTCTTCATGCCATCAGCTGAGCGGCTAGTGGCTTTTTGAGCTGTTGTCTCAAAGCTCCCTGGGAAATGGAGTCACAATTCACAGCATGGTCTGAACCAACCTCTTGTCACTCTCCTTCCCACACACCTTTCTCCATACACCACTAAAGAAGTTCCTCCAGCTTCGAGCGAGAAGGTCACTGTGTTCTGTGCTGGTTCTTTTATTATAGTGTAACAGATACAGATACATGAGTCTTACGGGGAGCTCAAAGTCCCCTTAATAAAAAGGGGGTTTCTTTAAAACTACATTTTAACAGTGTTTTAGTAAACTGAAGCAACAACCCAAAGGTTGAAATTCAATAATATCAATGCTGAGTCAGTCTGTCAACGGGAGATTTTAGAACAGATTTGTCCTTTTTTCATTTCTTGGAGGCTGAAGCGCTGAATGAGCAAAAATAATCCCATTGGTTTATTTAAAACTTGACGTAGTTTTCTGGCTCAGTAACAACAGACTGAAGCGGTTGTCAGACAGCAGCCTCCGAGCCAGATGTGCAGCTCATGGCTTCAATCATGGAATGTTGAGTATACACAAGACGTACGTTGTTAATACAACAAATTCTCCCTTTAAAAACATATTGTTACCTCCCACTAAAAAAACCTTTTCTATGACCTGCACAGTTTAGAAGTATAGACTGTATAATGACCCCACTTTTCCTGAGAAGTTTATGTCTCAATCTCTAGTTTCAAGTCTTCTTCAGTACAGGTGACGTTCATTTAGTAAATTATTTAGAGTTGAATAGACCCTAAATGCATTGGGGGGCGTGGATACTGCGTGATTGACAGCTAGCAGTGTCCCATAGGTGCATGTCACAGGTGTAGGTAGGCGTGTCCTCAAGCTCTCACTCAGGTTCCCCCACTCCTCCAAATACGGTAACTTCTTGTTTGAATAAACAAGATGGTGATGGACAAAAATTCGAAGCTACCAACCAATGTTGCAAAACCACGTGCTGAAAAGCTAAAATACTTGTGAAATTTTAAATAACGTTAAATCTATTCTTCAAACTAATTCAACTCTGTTTAGTGACAAAACGTTTGTGTTCCTGAAATTCAATAACGTCGAGGATGAACTTCAACATGAGTTAACAAACCCAGATCTTTAAAACACAATCTCACAGCACAGAGCGCGGTCCGGAGATCACGATGAAATATTACTCTGCCAAGACAAAAAATCTAATCTAACGATTGGAAATAAACAAGAAAATTCTATCTGAATCTAAAATAATGATAAAAAAAAAAACCTCATAATGTTGCCTGTATGATCTCAACAGGTCGACTGTTCCAAACGCCCGGTTACCGTTGGTTACCAGCCATGATCAGAGACCAGCAGATCAGATACGATTGGTGATAAGTTTGTGATGCAGCTGCAGTTTTACCGTTATATTGTCAGCTCAATTATATATTTGTAGCCAATCTAGTTGTAAATGAATTCACTTGTTATAATCTACGTCTTCACACACGTTCATATGTGAATAACTGAGTCAATCAGATTATTTCTGTCTCCAGAGCCGCTCGTCCTCCAAGAAACGTTTCTCTGTCGAAACCTTGTCTCAGTGTTTTATTGTTTTGATTCATCTCTGAAAGTTCCAAACGCAGTAGAAAACTCTGCTGGTCTTTTTCCTCCTGAACTGTGCGATGCTTCCAGATAAGTGCTCCTGTTTTGATGGATGCTGATGTGCTTTAGCTCAGCTCCCAAAGGTGTTGTAGGTTGTGTCAGAACCACAGAGACCTCTGAGGACACAGCAGGTAAGTTTCTCTGAGTCAGAAGTGTCTTTACAGATTGTCTGTAAAACACATGCACGTTGTGTGTCAGAGAAAGGATGCTGCTGTTGTGCGGGCGGTGATGGGAGCTGAGCTCTGCACAACAGTGACCCTGGATTAAAAAGCTCTTGAGAGGAAGCTCGTAGAAACACGACCAAGTCGAGGAAACAAGAGGAAACCTTCAAACCAGAGCTGCAGCAACATTAAAACATCTTTTATCTATGTATTCATGTTCCTGCATTCAAATCTCAGCTAAAGCTCAGTGTTGCATTTATAAGCTTCATGAGAAACATGTAATCAGCAGATTAACATAAATTTATCACATTTAAACTAAATTATCAATATATTTTCTTTCATTAAAAGGGTCACGTGTATTATTTAGACATATTTAGACATACAGGAATTTAAAATGTAATTGGAGGCACAATAATCTGTAAATCCCCAGCACAGTGTTATTCAAGGTGATTCAGTTCTGTGTTGTCCTACTTTGGTGCAGACAGCTGAGGCCGAGCGAAGCCACAGAGGAGCCTGTGTGACGGCTTCCATGATAAACTAGTGTTCCTGAACATATGGATCACAGACTCCTCTAAAAGTAGGGCGCTCAGACGGCGCTCATATCACCAATGTTGTCAGTGGAAGCATTAAAAACGACAGGGAATGAAAAATCCTGATTTAAACTGAAACCACAAACATATAAAGACATTTG